TTTTAACCTATTAATGGCCCAGTGAGGTAGTACTGTGTCAGGATCATATCTGAGGAAACTGAATTGAACAGAGTTAGACTTGCCCACCATGATACACAGTTCAGTGGCAAAGCCGAGATACAAATGTTAGCAGTTGGTCTCCAGAACCTATGAGGTACTACTGCCTGACAGCTTGAACATTTGTGTTTGTATGTAACCCATTTAAGAGGTACCTATATGAGCAGGATACACAACATGTGAATTAGCTACAGGAAGAATCTCAAAATGTTTGAAGACTTTTAGTTTTAGCATTTCAAGTACACTAACAACAAATGCAAAAAACAGACTTGAGAATCCCTCTTCCAATGGTGGGGTTCCCGGTCATGTCAGCTTCAGTTGGCAGTTTTATTTCTTTTTTATCATGTAACTTCTTTATAGCCTGTTACTATTATGAATTAGCTTGCTTAATTTCTTACTATTAAACCAGCCTTGTGTCCCTGGAATAATTAATCCCCACATGCTCCTATTGTATATAGTTCTTTTTATGTATTGTTGGATTCAATTTGCTCATAATTTGGTCATGACATTTTTATGTTTCCATGAGTGGCATCGGTCTGTAGGCTTTTTTTTTTCTTTCTTTTTCTCTTCTTCTTTCAGCCTTTGTTTAGTTCCAGGGTAATGAATTGTGAAGTGTTTTTAATTTTTTGGAGTGTATTTAACTTTCCATTATAATGGGTAGTTTTTTCTTAACTGATTGTTAGTTTAATTTTGTTATGGTCAGGGTATATCATTTTAATTTTTTTTAAAAATCAGAAAGAAAATAATAGATTTAAATGCTTCTCTTAGAAAACAAAGAGGTACAAATTCAGTGGTCAAAGGTTCTATTTTAAGCTATATCTTTAAGATAAGAACAAAGTAAACCCAAATTAAATAGATGGAAATCAAATAAAGAGTAGAAATCAACAACATGTAAAACAAAAACAATGGAGGGGGGGAAAAAATCAATGAAACTAATATCTAGTCCTCAAAAGAGCAACAAAATTGGAATATTTCTAATTAGGCCAAGTAAACCAGAGGGATTAGAAGTCACTAGTATCAGGAATGAAATTAGAGTTGCCACTATGGATCCTACCTAAATTAAAAGCATACAAAATCATGACCATTCTTTATGCCAATAAATTCAATAATTTGGACAAGATAGAAAAACCATTAGGAAAATAAAACTCACCAAACCTGGCACAAGGATAGAAAACCTGACTAGCTTCACATCTGTTAATGCAGTGGAAATTATCTTCCCACAAAGAAAACTCCAGTATTATATGGTTTTACTTGTAAATTTTACCAGTGAAGGAAGAAATAACATCAGTGTTACAGTCTTATAGAAAACAGATGGAGAAGGGAGTATCTCCAACTTGTTTTGTGAGAGCAGTGTCATTCTAATACAAAAACTTGACAAAGACATTACAAAACAAAATTATAGGGCTGTAGTCCACAAACAAAAATTCTGAAAATATTAGCAAATTGAATCTAATATCTATAAAAGGCCATTTTCAAGTTGTTTTCAACAGATGGTACTGACATATTTACACAGAAAAACAAATACAGACCCTTCACACACATGTAAAGGCATCACAGCACACACTACTGGTAGTACTGTGCCATTTTCATGGCCGTGTATCTGAATGTTTTTTAATGGCAGTTTCAGAGTATCTGATGGAACTATTCCAATTTACTTTTATATCAACCGGCTGAGTACATGGCTTTAATCATTGGAATGACCAAGTGGGGATTATGTATAAGTTCTGCATACCAAATCATGATGTGTATTTTGCAAAATGTAATTATTTCACTTGGGGTCTGAAGTATCTGCTTTTTTATTTATTCTCCCACGGAATACCATAACATACAAAAATATTAAGTCTATGGTATTTAGTAGACATTCCTCAAAACTGAACAAAGTTAGCCTGCCATAAGAAGCTGATATATCTGTTGCAAGTAAGAAAATTGAGGCTTTCAAGTAAAAATTAGAGTTTTGGCAAACTTGTATTCATCATTGTGAACGTGACATTTTCTCAATACTTAGACTTTTCTTGCCCTGGCAGTGTGGCTCAGTGGTTGAACATCAGCTCATGCACCAGGAGTCGCAGGTTTAGCTCCTGGTCAGGGCACATACCCAGGTTGTGGGCTCGACTCCCAGCAGGGGGTGTGCAGGAGGCAGCCGGTAGATGTTGATATATGTTTCTCCATGTTTCTGTCTCTCCTCTCATCCTAATAAAAACAGGTGTTTTGTGTGTGTTTTTTAACTTTTCTCATAAATGGGTTTTTTAATATAACATTTTGAAGATCTGCATCACCTGGTGAATGATATTTTCCACTGTCCAATGTGCAATGTTAGAAAATCCTGCCTGGGTAAAATAGTTGTTGTAAGTACAGTAAAGACCAATGGATTTTAATGTTAGAGCAGTTGTTGGCAAACTGCAGCTTGCGAGCCAAATGAAGCTCTTTGGCCCCTTACGTGTTCTAACGCCACTTCAAAATAGACTCACCCAGGCCGAAAACCAACTTGTGCCCATGGGCCACGAAGTTTTAATCACACTGCCTGTGTGTGCCTGCAAGTGGTATTTTGTGGAAAAGCCACACTCAAGGGGCCAGAGAGCCGCATGTGACTTGCTAGCCACGGTTTGCCGTCTGTGTTAGAGTATGAGAACTTTATTGGTCTGGTACAGATTCCACATTACAACTAACTTGTAAGAAGCTATTGTCTCATTTTGTTCTTAGTATCAAGAAGGAATATTAAATTATCTAGTACTACTAGTATATATTCTCAACTACACATTCTCAACTCTGGATGAGAAACTAGAGTAATTTGTCCATTTATATAGCTAGGAAGTGGCTCGAGCAGTGGGCACGTGGGCAGGACTTAAACTCAGACTGGCTGAAGAGCCGGTACTGTTAGGTACACTCTTGGGTTTGTGCCTGGAGCTGAAATAGTATTACCATTAAGCCTTGTTTGCATCGACCCTAGTCATGCATGGGTGGGAGCAAGGAGAGATAGATTTACATACATAGCAGAGGAAAAGGTTGCAGTTCTAAGGTTCATGCTAGTGGATCATTTTATGCCAATCTGGTGAGATAGTATGGCAACTCATCCCTAAACTTCAGAATGGTAAGAAGCTGTCCTTGCCTCCAATTAAGGACCAGTGTTTTCTTCAACAAATTAAGGGTTTACATACCCTTACAAGACAATTTTTTTTATGAGGATTATGAGATGAGCTTTGTTATTTGATGGCCACTAAGAATTTTCTGAAGTTCTCTCGAACTTGAAGCTCATTCTTGCTTCATTCTGTGTATTGGACCTGGTGCACATTACTACCTGTTCAGACAACATGGCATTGTAAGCCCTCTAGTCTCCCACATTGTTTAGCCCCGTTTTGTCTTAAACTAACTGCCTTTCTGGAACCTATATTCCATCCCGTCTGCAGCAGTGGCCACTCTGCACACAGCTTTGTCTCTACAGTCAGTGTGACAGTCACTATTCCATTCCTAGCAACAGTGTGCCCATCCTTGAAGCATCTACTCAAAATCTGTCACCACCTCTTTGGGTCCTTCTCTGTGCCCACCCCCTGGCATGAGGCACCAAGTATTCCATAGTGGTAATGAACACGTGTCTTTGTTCTAATAGGCTATTAACTACTGGGCGCATCTTTTTAGAGCCCATACCGTAGCCTGTTTCCTTCATCTCAAAGATGATTTGCTTAATATGTGAGCAGAATCATAAAAATTAAAGACGGAACAGACCACGGTATTTAGTTCATGTACCACACTGGATTAGCAAACTGACGAGGAGAATGTTTGACCTGAAAAGTCACTATTAGGATTTTGTCTTATTCCCGTGCTAGTAATAAAGTGTCGCAGTAAAAATTTAAAAGCAAAGATTTCATGCTGGAGATGTTTCCTCCTAAGAATTAAAGCCATCATTGTCCTATTATATTATATACATTCTATTCAGTACTTCCTATTTTTATAGGCCTGGAAATTATGTAAATTGTTTAAAGTTGTGCTCCAAAGTTAACGTTTTGATTTCACATCTTTCAACTTCAATCATAGACAAAATTTTACTCCCTTAAACGCTCTTATCTCCTTTGTCTAATATTAATTGACAGATGTGGGTTTCTTCTGGGGCTCTCCTGTTTCATTAATCTATATGTATGTCTTTATGCCAGTTCTATGCTGTTTTGATTATTACAGCCTTGTATAGTTGGTTGTCAGGTAGTGTGATACCTCCAACTTTGTCCCTTCTCAAAATTGCAGAAGCTATTCAGGTTCTTTGTGGGTCCATAATTTTTTTTTTTGAATTATTCTAGTTCTGTGAAATACATCATTGGTATTTTGATACAAATTGTATTCAGTCTACAGATTGCTTTGGGTAGTATGGATATTTTAGTGTTATTAATTCTTCCTATCAGTGAGGATGACATATCTTTCCATTTATTTGTATCTTCAGTATCTTATAATTTTCTGAGTACAGGTCTTTTACCTCCCTGGTTAGGTTTATTCCGTGTGTGTGTGTGTGTGTGTGTATGTGTGTACTCGCGTGCGCAGTATATCACTAATCAAATAAATGCAAATTAAAATTATGAGACATCACCTCACATCTGCAAAATGGCTACCATCAATAAATAAACATGGCTACCATCAATAAATAAACAAGTGTTGGTGAGGATGTGGAACTCTGTGTACTCTTGGTGGGGATGCAGATTGATATAGCTACTGCAGAAAACAGTATGGAGGTTCCTCAAAAAGTTAAAAATGGAAGTGCCTATATATAACCCAGGAATTCCACTTCTGGGTTATTTATCTGAAGAAACCCAAACACTAATTGTGAAAAAAATACATGCACCCCTATGTTCACTGCAGCGTTATTTACAATAGCCAAGATATAGAGGCAATCCCAAGTACCCATCAATAAATGAGAGGTACATTTATACAATGGAATAGTACTTAGCAAAAAAAAAAAAAAAAAAAAAAAAAAAAGAAAAGAAAGAAAAAGAAATCTTAACCATTTGAGACAGAATGGATGGGTCTGGACCCTAGAGGGTCTTATACTCAGTAAACTAAGTCAAAAAGACAAATACCATATTTCACTTATATGTGGAATCTAAAGGACAAAATAAACGAACAAAATTGAACAGACTTGGTCACAGAGAGCAGATTGGCGGCTACTGTAGGGGAAGAGTGTCGGGGGACTGGGTGAAAGAGGTGAAGGGACTAAGAAACAGATTGTTACAGAACAGTCACTGGATGTAAAGTACGACAGGGAATACAGTCAATAATTCAATGACTATGGTGCCAGGTGGGTACTATCGAGGGGAACACTTGGTAAGGTATGATGTCCAACCACTATTCTGTACACCTGAAACCAGTACAAAATAATATTGAAAGTAAACTAATTGGGGGAAAAATCATTTAAGTCCCTTAGTAATTTAGATATAAAAGTTTGCTATAGCCGGGACCGGTTTGGCTCAATGGATAGAGCGTCGGCTTGGGGACTGAAAGGTCCCGGGTTCGATTCCGGTCAAGGGCATGTACCTTGGTTGCGGGCAGATCCCCAGTAGGGGGTGTGCAAGAGGCAGCTGATCGATGACTCTCTCTCATCGATGTTTCTAACTCTATCTCTCTCCCTTCCTCTCTGTACAAAATCAATAAAATATATAAAAAGAAAAAAAAGAAGAAAAAAAAAAGTTTGCTATATTGCTTATTTCTCAGGATTAAAAATTCAAAGCACATGTTAATTTGAAGAAAAAACAAAAAAGTAAGTTTCCTACCCTGAGATTGCTTCCAGCTCAGCATAAGGAAGCAGGTGTTAAACATATCCTGATTACTTCTGCCTTATTACCTCTGCTTTGAGGGACTAGAAAGCACATGAGTAATTTACTTTTATAAATAATTCCAATACCCTAAGCCACATCTTCCACTTCCTCTCTCACATAATTCCCATCAGGCCTAAATGGGCCAGAGGTGGACTAAGCTGCTACCTTGCTATTCCCTGGTGGGTTCTACTGAAAAATACCACAAAATGTGGACTGAAGATAAAGAGAAAACAAGCATACGGACTTCACAGTTTTATCTCTTCCTGATTTTAACAAAGGAGCCGCTATTCTCCCAGATGAGAAAACACAGGCTCAGAGAAGGTAATTTCCTCCCTCCCAGTTAAGGTGCAACAGAATCAGAATTTGAATGTGCCTAATCCCAGTGTTCATCATCTTTCCGCTTCAGTTGTTTCTAAAACATGTTGCTTAACGTAAAAACTAAAGGAAACATACTTTCCACACAAGATATACTCTAATATGTATGAACATAAACTTCGAAATGAACTTTGCCTTCCATTCCAATAAAACTTTAAAATAGAAAATACAAAGTAAGTACAAACAATTACAATGTTTAGCTTAATAACACTTATCTAATTATGCCAGTAGAGGATGGAATAGAATTGTCTGGAGTGAAGACTATGGTAAGTGCAGCAGAGCAGGCTAATTGGAGTTTAGCATGTCCATGTGAACCAGGGAATGACTCATTTGCGCCCCCATTCCTCACTGTACCCCACTCAAACTGCACGGCACAGTGTCATCTGGTCTTCATAACACACCGTGTGCCTTTTAAGAACACCTGTTTCATTTCATGGCACACTGCATTAAAAGACAGCTACTTCATCCTAGAGGGATTGTTATGTGAGTATAAACCACTCAGGGTTTAAGATGCAAGTTGTTGAGATGAACCCCAGATAGGTAGATACTCCTTTTTAATGTTATCAAAAGCACAAAACTAAGTATCTAGGAGACATTAGACTCTTTAGAATGTATCCTGACTCCTCCCCAGAGATGCTCCAATTGCGATTTGGAAAGGACCACACGAGAGCATACTGAAGCTGCGTTTGCATGATTTGGATAGAGGGTCGTCCTCTGGCAAAGGCCAGGCACCTTCTGTGGGCGCATACGGACTGGTATCCCTCATCTGTTCCTTTGTGCTTGTGTGACGTTCCTCCCCTCCCTGGAAGCGGACAGCTTCAGAACTCAGTTACTTTGGATCTAAGGAAAAATTGCTAGAATAGCTCTCTCACTTTGGGTCTAATTTTTAATTTCTAAAGCCCTGTAAGAATGCCAAAGGTAATATAACTTGTGGCAGATGTTTTTGCAGAAGGCTCATTATGGTACCTGTAACCAAACCCCTGCTGTTTATTTGTAAAACATAGCTCAAGGCATGAAGGCTCTGATTACTTCTGTGTAAGAGAAGGAAGGGAATGAACCTTTACTGGAAGCCAAGGCAATAAATGCCATTCCAGAAAAGAGGGAGGGGCATGCATAATTGTCATAATTTAAAAAAATTTTTAAATATATTTTATTGATTTTTACAGAGAGGAAGGGAGAAGGGGAAAGAGTTAGAAACACCGATGAGAGAGAAACATCGATCAGCTGCACACGCCCCACTGGGGATATGCCTGCAACCAAGGTACATGCCCTTAACCAGAATCAAACCCGGGACCCTTCAGTCCGCAGGCCAATGCTCAATCCACTAAGCCAAACCAGTTTGGGCCATAATTGTCATTTTAAATCTAACTGTATATTAAATGTGCATGTATATTAAATAGAAAGAACACTGAATGTTGGAGAACTGAAAGTATTTCTATGCCTGAGATACAGGTGAGTAAATGGAATCAAGAAATAAAACTGGAGGATGTGAAGAAAAGAGAACCCTTGTGTACTGTTGGTGGGATTGTATATTGGTTTTCCACTGTGGAAAACGTAGTTTGGAGCTCCCTCAAAAAATTAAAAATAGAACTACCATATGATGCAGCAGTCTAATTTCTGCATATTTAAAGAAATGAAAACACTAAACTCAAAAATATATGCACATCATGATCAATGCAGCATTATTTACAATAGCCAAGATATAAAAACAACCTCAGTGTCCATCAATAGACTGTTGGATAAAGAAGATGTGGTATATATAGCCAATTTTTCAGCCATTAAAGGAAGAAACTCTTACAATTTGTGACAACATGGGTGTATGTTGAGAGCAATATGCTAAATAAAATATGAATATTGTATGATCTCACTTACACATTCAATCTAAAATAGATAAACCAACAAGACAAAAAACCCTGAGCTCATAGTTACAGGAGAACAGATTGAGGGTTGTCAGAGATGAGGTGTGGGTGATGGGTGAATGGAGTCATAAGGTCCAAACTTCCAGTTAGAAAAAAAGTCAAGAGTATGTAATATACAAGCATGGTGACTATACTTAATAATACTGTTTTACATATTTGCAAGTTGTTGAGATGTTAAAAGTTCTCACCACAAGAAATTTTGTAGCCATGTACACTGATGGATATTAATTGGACATATGATCATTTCATGATATATTATAAATATTAAATCATGTTATATACCTGAAACTAACACAATATTATCTCAATTATACCTCAATTTTTTTAAAAGTTCAGAGTTAGGACTGGATTGAGAAAAGTCTACTTGACTAAACTATCCTCTTAAATCTGACTTTAACGAATAATTGATGTTAGAAAAAAACTTATCAGAAATCAGAAGACTGAAATTGAAACTCTATCCTGAAATATAAAAGGAAAATGGTCAAACAGAAGAAAAACAGTGTGCTACAAATTATTAAAATGTGGATTTAAGCCCATCATCCAACCTTGAAAATTTAGCACAATTCTAAGAAGAGCAATAATCTGAAACAAAGTGTTCCCAAATGGGGAGAAAAATGCTGCAAAAGCAGGTAAAAGATGTTCCTGAATTTTAGGCAAAATTGATGGAAAAGCCATACTTTGTCTATGCCTTCTGATTTGTTGTTATTGTTGTTGTTGTTGTTGTTGTTAAAAAGGCACTACCTGTAACAATTAGAATTGTGTTGCATTCAAACTGGAATTCATGGTGTGAACATTGTCAGTTCACTAACTTTTCAATCCCAGGCACACAGAAAATCTATCATACCTTTTGGTGCCTGCTGCTTTCTGTAAACTACAGACATGACCACAGACTGAACCCAAGATGGGAATGAAGTTAGACTAGATGCTTAACCTCAAGAGCCAGTTTAGGCAACAGTGTCAATCAGCCCAGGCCTCAAGCATTCTCCTTCCTTCTCCCTCTGAACCAGTGGCAGGTCTTACTGACAAACCTGATTCTGCTTTCGCCTGGCCTCTTTTTGCTCACTAATCACCGACCGGCATGTTCTTGTAGGTCCTTTGCTAATATTTCTACAGGAAATTTTCCAAAAAAACAATTTATTTCTCCAAAGCCCTGTTCCTAACCCATTCCCAAGCCCAGCCTTAGTTTCCGGCACCACAGCCCTAGCTCCTCCTGCTTGTCTGGGAAGAAAATATGGAATCTGTACATTTAGCTAAAAATATTGTAACAAGCATTTTGGTCCAAAAAAAATTTTTTTAAAAGAACATCAAGTTCAGAAGAATAATGCCATGTACACATTTTTGGTGTATGTTATGTATTTGGAATATACACTTTTTCTAAAAAATAAGTGCATGCATAATTTGCATATATCTTTAAGTGTTTTTTTCTTTACTACATAATTTTAAATTATACCTATAATCTAAAACATACACTTTTATATACATATACTTTATATAAATGTATATACAATTTAAACTATATTCCATAACATTATGGCATATATTTGCATCCATTTCCATATACACACATGCTACAGGTATACATGTGCTATACAGATCTATCTGATCATGTTATTCTTTTAAAACGAAGCAATGTATTTACATTTAAATGACAATTATGGAAATTGTTCATAATAAGAGGAAAGATAATGTATGAAAGACATGTGTCTTTTTAAAAAGAAGTTGTACATATACATACCATATATGTAGTGTATTTTTTAATGTATAAAACAGAAAAATCAGTATTTTTAGCCAACCTAATAAGTGTGGATCTTTTTATTATTTCCAGACATTGTAGTTGTAAATAACTTTGCAGTGAACATCACTGTAGCTAAATCTTTGCACAACATTCTGTTTTTTCAAAACCTGTTACATGATAGGTATCTAATAAGTATCAAATGAAAAATTTTAAAACATTTGTAAATTTAATTGTAAACATATAATTCTGCCTTTCATAAAAATCTTTCCAATACTGAAAAAAATAAATAGAATATATTTTATTACTTAGGATGTTGCTATGACCTTGTAACTATCTCTGTCTTTTGTCTATTTCCATTGCTCACACTACTTCCATTGTCCTTCTAAAAAACAGGTCTACCTGATCATGTCATTCTTTTAAAACTGTTACTTATTCTCTATTGTCCACAAACTAAACATGGGCGGTTATATTTAACTGTAGTCCCATACTGCCAGGCTCCGTGTCTACCACCCCACCCCCTCACATTCCCCCCCACCCCATTCAGAGTGCTCCATCCACTGGGTGACACACACATTCAGCCACATCCCATGACAAGTCAGGAACAATTTATCCAGCCACTCTAACCAGCTCTTACCAGCCCTCCTCAACCATGTAGTGCTCTCCTCCCAAAACTTGTTCCCTGTAAGAGTTATAATCCCTTTTTCCAAATCCTGGGTATTTCTGACTCAGCCCTTTATATCTTGTTAAATATAATAAAGAAAAGCGCACAAACCATAAGAGCATAGCTAAGAGGGAACACATCTACCCAAGTGGCAGGGAGCTGTGTTGGCCCCGGAATACCTGTAGGAAGGGTTAGGAGGGGAAATACCGTGAAGGGGATGCCACTTGAAGTTGCATTTA